GAAGTACCATTTCACAGGAATATAGTTTGGCTGACTGCCTACAGCGGACTATGTGTGGTAGGGGTTTCTATAGAAGACTATTAGCACCAACTGGTTGATGTGATACTTAACACTGGAGATGCCTGTAGGGGACCTTGTAGGACTTGTTAGAAAGTATGATGGATGAGAGGTGGTGATTGGAGAGTTGTATACTGAAGTAGGGCTGCGAGGGGCAAGTGATATATCGTTCTTCCCTGTAGATGTGTGGGAGAAAGGAAGAAATATGTTTTTCTTGTTTCTCATGGGGTTTTTCCTGGGGTGGATGGTCGTGCCAGATGTGGTCAAGAGCATGTATTGTGCTGCCGAACACGAGAAGAAAGGAAGAAGAAAAAAACTCACAAGTTAGATATTCTTTTTGGGCATCTATTCTACTGTGGCTCAAGTTGTGTCGAAAACATGATTATATATATCCCCCAGAGAGTTTCTATTTACGCAGGGGACATAGTCAGGTTCATCCAACCTAGCAAAGTCGTGCAAGTCATTTCTACAGCTCTTGTCATAGTTATCTGTATACTTTTGTCTCGACCTACATACTGTCCCTCGATCTACAAGACATCATGCATCCACACTTGCTAGTGCCAGCCAGCGGCCATATTACCCTCAAGGGCAGTAAACTTGCATATCAGCCCTACCGGGCTAAATTCTACGGCTTGGATAGAATCCACCATGGTGCCCTGTCGCCTTCGGTATTGCCATATGGTGGCGGGCGAAAGCCCCGCCGAGATATGATATACCGTACTATCATAATATAGTACGAATCAGAGCACTTTCTTGCTTGTCCTCCTTATTGGCGGGGGGAGGAGTATATCCGATCACGAACACCTAAGACAATTGTCCAGGAACTTCAAACCTATAGCTCGACATCTCGATGATAAGTGAAGTGGCGCGAGAGTGCACAAGACTGGTTTAACGAGAGAGGTGAAATTAAACATCAAGTCCATTGGACAACACTCTTGATCGGCGGCTTTCCGTTCTTTCCACTCACTGATATATACATCTCTGCCTGCTCGGCGAGTATCTGGAGTGAGAAGCGAGAGGCTCTGGGAGAAAATAGTATAACTCCCCTCTCTACTCGCAACCTACTTGGCTAGTTTCCGGTATAGAGAGCAATGTTATCTGCTGCTAACTTGCTGTGTCGGGAGTTCAGACTGTGAATGAATAGAGAGACAACTATAAAAACCAGATTCAAGTACAGTGCCACATAATCTAGTCAAAACAGGGAGACACTTTTACGTCCGGGTGAGAAGTAGCTGAGGAGGGATTCGCGATTGCGTCATTGTCAGATACCGGTAGTGTTGAAAGGTTTAGTCATGTATATCAAGAGTCAGCTTAGGCGTTTTTATTGTGAGTTTGAGACAATCCTAGGATAAAATTTTTATTTAAACGTGCTAGTACCTGCCGGATTCCACCAGATTATTCGGTGTCGTAACCGATGAACACCGGCGTGGTCTTAGTAGTAGAAGAAATGTATGGTACTCCCCTCATATTCCGAGGGACATCCAAATCCCACAATACCGAACCTCGAAGTAATGGCGGTTATCTCTGCAAATGCTGCATGGCATCTGCGTCGCGGTACCTCAGTACACTCCAGAGCCCTCATCTTCTCAGATTCGCTGTGGTGGGGTGGTTGCTGTCAAGTTAAACGCCAACCTATATTAAGGGTACTGTACAGTACATGTGTTCTGTCGCGAAGTCATTACTTTCAACGACCACCATAGGGCAGCAGTAATATCGAGAAAATGTCAAGAGGTAAAAGTCCAACCGGGAAACTAGCTTTCTTTGATGAGCGTTAGAATTCTGTAGAACTGCGTTATCCCAGTGCCTCTACCTTATTCTAAACACTCGCTCACACTGCCCGATCCAGAGGTGCTGGGATGCCTTGGACATATCATATTATACGAGTTCCGGAAGTACTCCTTTCACTCAATCAGAATCGTCAACAGCTTCTAAACTCATGATTTAGGTCTATCCCTAGCAACCGAGATGAGTAACGCTCAAACTCGAGAATTCCGACTCGACTCTCCGTGTTATTAATCCTAAAACTTTGCCTACACATAAACACAACCTATCCATAGGTTAAAATTTAGTGGAGCCCATTTGAGAAAGGCTTGTTTCTGTATCACAAAGATAGGGACTTACAAAGAGTGTATCAAGACCGAAAGTGCTTGGAGGATAAAAGGATGGTATTCAGAGCACCCGCCAAAATGACAAACTTGGACTAGACAAACGAGGTTTTACACTTGGGGAAAGGGGGCACACCCGTAACAGAATCTGAGGGATTTTTCCTTCTATCTTTTGTGTTTGTAACTGTTGGTTTATCCCCTTTCATCAGATTTTCTCCTTTGGCAAGTGCTATTGTTTTTGCATGGTAATCCATACATGATTTTGTAAACAGTGTTCCCAATGACCCTGTGGGAGAAACTCCCGAGGCTTCGGGGCAGGCCTCTCATGGTCTGCCTGTCCAGGGCCATGATATCTAGCGGCCCCGCAGCCAGTCCAGCTGCGGTCCCGGGAGCCTTGCCAAAATCGTCTCCAGTGGCCAAACTCTCGCAGTACCCGAAAGGATCCAGGCCAAACCCTATAGATGTCTGGGTAAGCTCAGCAGATTCTCAGGCGATCTGAGGGTACCTGCACATTGCCTCTCATCTGAAAACAAAACAAGTCCTAGGAAAAAAGCGCCTCGCCGGAAAAAATATATATTATAAAAGACCCCATTCCTCGAACCCCTGCGCCCCGGGATACCAAGGCCGGCCCCAGATCGCGCTCTGGAAAGCAGTGCTCCTGTGATCCAGTCCTGGCATAGATGGTGCGGGCAGAGTGCAGGGGGTGAGTGTTGTTTTATGAGTGTAGCTTTGACTGTATCCACACAAAGGACTAGGCATTCAAACAAAACGAATTTTCCGGCGCAGCGTAGGAATCTCAAGGCTTAAACCAAACTCTTTCAATCATACTAGGAACAGATTCTCAGCCTTTGCCTTGTACCTCTGATATGATCGCTTTGGTGCACCTGACCGCCCAAGGAAGCGTTTCCAGAGGACAACCGCTAGCAAGGCCTCACTCGAGACCTCATGTGTTGTCATTTGCTCCTGAAGCTTTTTCTCGCCGCCCGAACAGTGCTTTCCTCACTGTAGCCAGAGCCTTTGCTCATTCAGATGCTTTGCGTGTGACTTCAGTTCTTCTATGCTTGCGCTCTCTTCGCCTTTCCCAAGTTGCAGCGGCTTCGGCGTGCAGTGGAAGCTACCTCCATGTGGTCAAGAAGGAAATCGCAATGTTGGGTTGTAGTTAAGACACCAACCCCATCAGACGACCTATGATAGACAGCAACAAGATTCTTTGGAGGATATGACCGCACTCATACATCTCAAGGGAGCTGGAAAAAACTCGCTCCGTTTAGCTAGTCCTGTGCCCACAGCCTAACGCCTATTTCCATGGAAACCTTGCTTGCTCTTGTATCGTATTTTCCACAGTCAGGTATATTGGTTGTCCCTGTTTTTGCTCCTTTCGTTTTTCCTTGCTTCTGTTCATTCCACCGGGCTTTCCAACTATTCTTCATTGTTGGCGGGTGAAGGGGGTAGGGCAAGAGGAAGGAATAAGTGCAACAGATTTAATTCGATCTTTTAGATACTGGGGTTTCGATTTTTCATGTTTTAGTGCGTATAAGAGAAGTAGGCTCAGGAGATCCAGATACTCTTATATCATCCCAGTAAAATCACCCGTGAATGGGATCGCCTACCGGGAAGTCTGTGATCAAGGACTATACAATAGTAAAGCCCCTCACCCGAATACGGCCATGCTTGAGGAGTGGGGACGAACACGTACTCGAGTAGAGGGGAATACCAGGACCCCGCACCACTAAGCCCAGAAAGGGTTAACGTAGACAGGCGCCGTGAGTTACTACAGCATCTTACTCTCTCCTCCGGGCGATTATGAGTACTCATAGCTAGTTTCTAGCGCCCGAGCCTAATATACTTGTATGATAGTATACTTGTAGGACACCTTGACTTCTCTACCCCCAGATGTCAAACCCGTGCCATAACCAAGTCCCAGGTTTTCTTGTTAACCCACCCGAGTATGATATGATACTTATGATATTGTAGTATGAAAAACCCAGAGATCTGGTTTGTCACAAAACGAACTAGATTAGCGCCCAAGTGCCCAGCTTTGCCCTACGGTAGCAGGCAGTGCTTGGAAATTAAAAATTTCGTGCGATAATACAGTGGCTCAGACAGTGCCCGGCAATTACCGGTAATTTATCGATAACGAGACACGCAGATCCCACGCCCTACTGCCGGTAATCCTGGTTGGCCAAGCGACTTCGCCTCGCAAAACTCATGAAGTGGCGTCGATAGCTTTTTCGTCGAAAAAGTCGCCCGCCACAGGGGGAGTCACCATACTCGGAACGAGGAAATCTGTATGTCTCACAAGGCCATGGGATAAAGTGTCAGGACTCCGAGGGGTATCACAGTACCGGTGCAAGCATGGTGCTTGTCTAGGCGCCAAAGGCGTCCGAACATTTTATGAATTGCCAGCACGCTAAGCCCGTTTTTTGGAACGATTTGAGCATTGCGATTCGCCAGGAACACCTGAGCTGACCCAAGGGCTGAGTCATTTGAGTATTAAAGGCCTCGAAAATTCTACTTTTTGGACCTAGTACAGGACACTGCTACCCAACCCAGCCTTAGCGTGCTGGTAACGAATTTTACTGTCCCAGACCGGATACTGATATGGTGATTGTGATGACAAGTTCGGCTGAGTCTGGAAAAATTTCTTCGTGGTACAGTACAATACAAAACGGTACTACTCCTAATGGTAAATTGATAGCGTTTCCACCGGGCCCACTGCGGAACCGGCATAGTACCTGTCAAACAAGGGCTCACTATAAGTACTAGTATCATACTTGTATCAAATAATTTACCGCGTGACGATCCATGATTATTATTCAGAATAAAGTCGTGGATCTACTACTTTAACGCATTGACAACCAGGTATGATGGATTTACAATCCTTGGCTCGGGACAAAAGCGCTGTAGCCTAAGCGATCTGTGACTTTGCTGGACAAGGTAAATTTACTAGGGGACAACAAACAAGAGAACGCCCAACAGCCTATCAAACCAATTTGGCGTGTGCCACTGCCCCCCCTACCGAGCATGTTGAACCTCGACAATAACCCACCCTCAAACCATTCATAGCCAGTTCATCTCCCCCTTTCCAAGTTTCACCCACATCGGGGCTCCGCTATTACTCCCCCTCAGGACAGGACAGCACGGCCGGTTGAGTTGACACCGAGTCCCCGGTGGAGGAAGTTGCCCGGGCATTACTCCTACTTCTTAACTTGCTCCATACATCAGAATACGCTCTCACGATTTAGGCGCAGCGCACGCGACACATAATGGAGTTGAAGTCGCTATCCCCACAAAATACCCACCATGGCAGTAGCAGAAACGGCGGAGCTGTGCCCGTATCAGAGGAAGAAGGAGGAGGAACAGGAGTTGGGGGAGAAGAGCAGCAGAGGATAATCCCCAATGGTGGAGCGGTGGAATATAGGGTTTACAAAGAGCGGTGGTTCGGGCTTGCTGGGTTAATGTTGATGAACATTGTGATTTCTTGGGGGGTTGGTTTGTCTTTGTTTTATTATCTGCTAGATTGGAAGTGGGAGACGGGATTGCTAATTTGGGATTATAGTGGCTCACGTATGCACCTGTTAGTGATAAAACGCAGATATGGTTCGGACTTGACTCCCAGACTCCTGTGAACTGGCTGTCTACTGTTATATTCTTCACTTATGGTTTGTGCGGTCTTTTGGTGTAGTATTTCCTGGTGTGGGATAGGGCGTGGAAAACTGACTGGAGATGTTCAACCTCGTTTAGTGGTCGCGGCACCGTATGTTTCTTTTGCTCTCTCCCTCCCCGTCATTCGGTCTTCACGATTTTCTAATATCTCACTTACAGAGCAGTCCTATACACCCTCAACCGCCACGGTGTGAAACCTGCACTAATGGCCTCCTCATTCCTGGTCCTAGCGGGAAACTGGATTCGTTACGTCTGCACGCAACGAAAGTCCTTCGGCGGCGTAATGTTTGGTCAGATCCTTATCGGCTTTGCACAGCCGTTCGTCCTATCTGCCGCCACACACTATAGCGATCTCTGGTTCACTTCCCGTGGACGGACATCTGCTACTGCACTCACTAGTTTTGCTAATCCGTTCGGTGCCGCGCTCGGGCAGTTGATTAATCCTATGCTTGCCACAAGCCCCGAGAAGATTCCAGATATGACATTTTGGGTCGCGATTATTGCCACGGTTGCCTCGCTGCCGTGGTGGTTTGTCAAGAGTCGTCCACCGACACCGCCGTGTGCCAGTGCTGTTGGGCAGAAGTTGGGGTTCAAGGAGAGCCTGGGGGTGGTATTTAGGAATAGAGAGTTTTTGTTGGTTTTTGTCATGGTGAGTTTGGCATGAAATGGTGGTCAGGGTTGAAGCTAATAGGGTGGATAGTTTTCGGTGTATCTGGGCTTTTTTAACGCAATGTCTTCCTTGCTGAATCAGGTTTGTCACCGTAGTGCTCTCGATGCACTGTTAAGAAACTGACCAGTATAGATTATGCTTCCATATGGATACACTGACGACGAAGCCGGCATCACCGGCGCGATACTGATTGTCTCGGGGCTAATTACATCTGCCATTGTCTCGCCGATAAACGACAGAACCCATAGCTTCGTCATGGCAATCAGGATTTTCGTCCCGATCATTGCCCTAGGTTATGTTGCTCTAATATTCGCCCCGAAATCGCAGACGCTAGCGGCACCCTTCGCGGTGAGCGCTCTTATTGGTGCCTCCAGTTTCTCACTGCTTCCCTTAGCTCTAGAATGGGTAGTCGAGCAAACCCATCCTGCACCTCCAGAATTGACAAACGTCACACTCTGGGTTGGCGGCCAACTGCTCGGAGCGATATTCCTAATCACCATGGATGCGTTGAAGGATAAGAACAATCATAACAAGATGTCGAAGAGCTTGGTATTTGAGGCTATGGTCGCCTGCATGGTTTCGCCGTTGACGCTATTGCTCGGTGACGGTACTAACAAGAGGATCGAGATTGACAAAGTTGCCGCGCAGAGGATTGATGGTTGATGAGGGGTGGTTCAGGGGTACTGGAATGATATCATGGAGTGTTTTCAAGTCGGTGCAAAATTAGTTTTGCGAATTTTAGGCCTGATCTGATGTATTTTGACTTTAATCCATACCCCGTTTCCACCGTTTCTGTCTATTTTAGGGAAGCTTGCTTTGCCAATGTTACGGTGTTTACTTCTTGGCGTGTTTCCAACTTGGAGGCAAGGATTTTCAACGTGAGGGGAATGTGGCCTACTCGGGTTAATCCGAAGCAAACGTGGAAAGAATTTAACCAGCTTGGCAAAAGGCTGGCGGCATCAACCTGCCCCGGAAAAAATCCCGTCCCCTCTACTCCCCATACCTACTCGAGTACTTGTATTATGATATTACGGTAAGGCCATGTTTGGCAAAAATAGAGTTATAAGAAATGGTTCCATTTCAAAACAGTTTGAGACCTGAAATAGTCATCTTCCAGTTCTTCCCATTGGTTCCGACCTGTCTGTTTGGATGGAAATGGCTCCATTTATATAAAACAGGTACTTACTCTAAGAAAGAAAAAAAAATTCCCACAATGCTTATCTTATTTACTTGTATCATAAGGGGGGTTTTTATTTTTATTTTTTTCATAAATAGATATTACTAACACGCATCCAACTAGTATGTGTCGTTGTATAATTGCAGTAAGAAATTGGTAATCGATATCATTAGATCACTGGTAGTAGGGAAACTGAGTATGAACTATTATTAAATGAATTTCTCATGTATGGCATTATCTGATTATACAATTTCTTAAAATATGATATATATTGTATACAAGATTTGAGTGCATTTTAGCAAAAATTGTAAAACTTCCTTTCTGTCATGTTGGGAAAAAAGCCAAAATATATTTTAGATCACACTAAATTCAATGTATATTGCTTTATAAACTCTATAATAATAATAAATTGTACTTTTGAAAATATTTGAAATATTCCAAGTAGGTACTTCTTAAAGCCAGCAATGTTTCTATCTAAGCAAAAAGCTTTTTGCTGAGATCTTTTTCCTGATACTAACATCCTTGATACTACTCTAATTTTGAATTTAAATATATTCTGAGAAGATCAGAGGCTAATATTACAGGTACTAAAGGCTTAGAATAATTTGGTTTATTTTATCGCAATACTAGAGTTCAATATTTTTTTTGCTAGAATGCATCCATCTGATAATAAAATTTTTATTTTATTAGGGTTTGGGGGAGAACAGTCCTATCTGAAATGGTTCTATTTAGTTATCAGAATGGAAAGATTGGTAGATTTCTGATTTACTAAATACAAGTTGTGATCTAAAAATTTGAAATGAAAGAAAATGGTCACATTGTATAGGGAAATGAAATAGTCCTATTTTTGACAATAAGTGCCTAAGTTATTAAGTTGTATACTAGCACAAGTTTGATAATAATATTATTATAATAGTAATTATTATTATCCCTTTGGGTATCTGAAACAGTAAAATTTGTGACAAGGTAGGCAGAGTGTAATAAACCAGATTGTAACAAGGCAGATTGAAGAAGAGGAATAAAGGATTTCACATGACTTGCACTTGTGAGTCATTGGTGTTTATTATTGTGTAATGCCTCACGGTGGTGAGTCATATAATGATATGAATTTTGCACGTAACTCATATTTATAGATCACTAGTTTTATGTATGTGATACATTTAAGTACATGGGATACATTATAAGGATTGTGATTAGTTAAGGCAATTTGCTCAGATGACTCAAACAAGTCAACTTAGAAATTCACATGACTCATGATTACGAGTCATAGGATATAGTGATGTGAAGGTATGAGTCATACAGGGTTAGGATTGGGTGAGATAACTGTATAAATAGCAAGGTCCAGAGACTTCTTGTACACCACACTCCGTCGCTCCTATTTTCCTCCTACATAGTTTGGCAACATTACGTCAACTATCGTGGGCCCCCCCCACTCCCCTCTGCCTCCTCGATGGTTCCTGCCTAGGGGCACGGTTAACTCTTCCATCCTCTCCCGCTTTGGCCTCGCTTGTCTCTTGTCTGCTTGATAGGGGAGTTATCTGGGCTCGCCTAGTAGTCATGTCCTGCTAATAGGGACTCGCTTAGCTTTGGCATGGTCGGCTTCCTCTTCTTGCTTCCGGACGGCGCTGGCAGTGGTGGATGTCCTTCTCCCCACTTGCACGATCCCCGTTGGGGAATGCCTCGGCTAGTAACTTCGGGGTCTGTCTTGCGGTGAGATTTGACCATACCCTCCTAGTCGCTCGGTTCAAGTTTGTTTGCCCTCCTCACCTCGCCCTTCCTCCTCCCTACTGCCGGTGGGATCCCTTCCACTAAGTGACGCTATCTCTCTGAGAACAAGGGACTACATGAGAGACACGGTAATACGTCAGTTCGGTCTACGGTCAGGTTTGCACTGGGGCCTTTGGCCCTACCTCTACTTTCCACTTCGGTCGCGTCGGCTCGCACCCTACTGCCTCCCCTTCTTGGCTGGTACCCTACTACCTCCCCCCTCTGCCGCGTGGTGTTCCAGGGTTTCGGCCTGCTGCCTGCCCGTGGTCGATCTTTGGCTGGCATCATACTGCTGGGCGGCATCCCCTCTGCCTAACATCCACTCTTTGGGCCTGGCACCGTGGCCTCTGTTCTCGACTGGCGGACCATGGTATTGCACTACCTCTGTGGCTTAGCCGGTTGGGGGCGCTCGACCTTAGGACTCGTCACCGACCGCTCACTTCGGGGGCGGTTCTTTAGAAACGGCAAATCTGGTGGTACGGTGGGCAGTTGTTATTTTCCTTTGTGGTCCTTATGGGTCTGGTAGTTTACGGGATAGAGTTTTTCCATATGCTTTCCTGGGGGCTTTTGGTTGGCTTCTAGGCGAGACCCTTTCGCGTTCAAGTCGTGAGGCCTGCGGGCTGGGCACCTGAGTTGATCGCCCTTGGGGTGTGTGCGGTTGGGCCCATACCAGAGGGCCTTGGGGGTACGGGTTTTCTCTTGGTCCGGGGGGGAGGGGTTTTCTTAATGCCATAGCTAGCGCTGCATGCGATGTTCTTGTACCTTAAACAAGTAACTAAATGATTATAAAAAAAAAAAAGAGACTTCTTGTACACATTCCCCCTCCTTCCCCGGTTTACTCCCCCTCCTTCCCCGGGTTACTTCCCCTCCTTCCCCGGTTTCTACTACTCCTCCGCGGAGCATTAGCTCTTTCTCCCTCTTTCAACACAACTACATGGGTAGCTGGAATGTGTTTCTTTCTCTCTTTAATTCTTTAGTTGCTTTGTTCTCCCCTCCTGTGCTTGTTGCTCTTCAAGACCCCCCTTTCTTTCGTGGAAAGCTACCACAGTTTGCTGGCTTTAAGTCCTTTTCCCCCCCGATGGAGTTCAGGGAAAAGCCAAGGGTGGCCGTTTTTGCACGACGCTCCTTCCTTGATGTTGTTTCTTTTGTTCCAGGGTTTTTCGGCAACCCTGCCCTGATGGCAGTGGATGTCTACACCCCGTATGGTTTATTTGACTCCTCCCATGTGAGGTTTCGCCTGGTCAACCTTTATTCCCTTTGGACGACATTGTCGCTCTACCGTTCTGTTTCCCCAGAGGAAGCTTTCCCTGTTCTCGACTTCCCCACCCTCATGGTGGGAGACTTCAACATTCACCATCCCCAGTGGGATCCTGACCGTCCCTTAAGGAAAGGGGAAATCTGCACCTCCACTCCCTACGCGGAATCGTCCCAGGAACGCTGCTTCTCCCTCCTGAATACCCCTGGAGTATTCACCCATTTCTCACTGGGCCAAGACCATGCACCATCTGTGATAGACTTAGCCTTCGCCAACCAACACCTAGCACCCTATGTGGAAACATGGGATGCCTTCCTCCAGTCCACTGGGTCGGATCACGTCCCAATATCAGTAACCTTGACATCTCCACTTCTCTCCCCTCCCAAACATACGCCACACTGAAAAGCTACAGACTGGACAAAGGTCCTGGAGGACCTCGGCTCCCTCACGATTCCGCCACCTCCACCCCTCCCGACGCAGCAAGCACTTAACACGTAGCTTGATATCAACCTTGGCAGGATACGTCTAGTCCTGGCCCGACATACGCCTATGAAGAGATCCTCCACAAGATCGAAACCTTGGTGGTCAGACACTTTGTCTGACCTGAGGAAAGTTCACCACTCTCGTACCTGTGTGGCCCGAAAGTCCCCATCGAATGACACCCGAGCATCTGCTCGCTTGGCCAAGAATGACTATTTCAAGGCTATCAAGAAGGCTAAGAAGGAACACTGGACACGGTTCCTTGAGAGTGCAACCCCCCAAAATGTGTGGACGGCTAAGAGGTTTGCCTTCGGCAAACCCCCAGAACGTTTCCCATTCCTCCCACAGGCAACCTCACTAATGGAGCTAAACGAAGCCCTCCTCTCCCATTTCTTCCCTCCCAAGCCCCCTGCTTTCTGCCTGCCTATCCTAAGAGCATTCAAAGACGCATCCCCCTTGCTGGAGGAAGAGATTGCCGTGGCACTCAGCAAGTCCTCGCCCTCCTCGGCCCCTGGTCCCGACCTCTTCCCGTACTCTGTTTGGAAAAAGATTAATGTATCCCGTCCCTCTCTGCTGGTTGAGCTTCTCTCCCCGCTGGTCTTGTTTGGTTTCCACCCGACGTCACTCAAAATGGCGAATGGCGTAGTCCTAGACAAGCCTGGCAAACACTCCTGTGATACTCCTGCCTCCTTCTTTATAATCGTCCTCCTGGAGACAGTTTCAAAGATCCTGGAAAGGATAATAGCGAACCGCCTCTCACCACTGGCTAGATCTCTTGGCCTGCTCAACCTACATCAATGCGGCTCCCTTCCAGGACTCAGCACCTTCGATGCCTGTGCAACTCTGGCCCATGAAGTCCAGACACTACAACGCCCCCAGTTGGTGGCGTCTACCTTGTTTCTTGATATTAAGGGGGGCATTGACAATGTCTCCCCTAATGACCTCTTCCATATGTTGCGCTCGAAAGGAGTACCACCGTATCTG